AAATTGTCTAAATGTTTACTAAATAACAACATTACTACTGACACGAACTAAGTCCGATAATTTATAAATAGGTCTCATTTCCCTTGGCAGCACTTATATTAATTCCAAATCAATCTTCAAGTAATCTAGCCTATAATAAATAGACCCAATAGTGTGTTATCTAATATTCAAAATACACTATATATATATATAAAACACTAGAATTTTCTTTTAATAGAGTATCGGCTAAAAATAAAGTAACCCTAATTTCAGAATTTTAAGTTTTAAATAACTTAATATTATATATTGGTTATACAAAATATTTTAAGAATAGTAAACTTTACAATAACTATCAATAAAAACTGAGAACAGATATTTGCAAAGCAGATTGTTGATTTTTTTTTTTTTTAGATATTTGATCAATAAGAGAAATTTTTCTTGTTTATTAATTAACCATAGAACTGTACTAATCTTATTATAACTATCTTATTTTATTTAGCAATATGATGTCTAAATTTTTAAAAAAATTTATATTAGATGAAACGCTGATGCATTAATATTACTTAAGGAAAACAATGAAAAGTGATTCTCCTTAGCAATTAAACCATTAAATAATATTTTAATAACTTTGCAAATGCGTATTTATGACATCAGGATTTTTTTTACTATATAAATTTAAAATTATTAAAATTATCATTGTGCTTCAGTGCTTTTTAATAAGCATCACTTCTTTTTAGGAATTGAAACTTGCACTTTTCAAACGAAGTTAATGAAAATGAAATTTTATTTGTTAGTTTTATTATTAAACGCATTTCTCAGCGTTTCAACTGATGCTACAGTCTATAAGTATGTAGGATACATTTATTGTTTTATGAAAATTTATCAAAAGATCACATTTATTGTTCCGAGTTATGAAAATTTATCAAAAGATCACATTATATCGATATTAATCACGCCGTTTTTACCTAAGAATGACATTGAAAAAAGTGTCAGAAACTCCTACCCAAAAAATAAATCGTTATGCAAATTCTGGTGACTACCTTATTCAAAAATACTTTGGATACTCCCGTTATATACAACATGCAAACCAGATAGTTATTCACAAATATGATGGTATGCAACAGCATGGAGTGCCTTTGACAAATTACATGAATGCGCAAGTGAGTATATGAAATAGCAATCGATTTGTATCCCATTCATAACCATGAGTTTCATTTAAGCAATCACAACTGAAAATTATTATTTAAGATCGTAAACAATGAATACCTAAAAAAAAAAAAAACAAACCTTGATAATAATTCAATTATAGTATTTTGGCGAAATTTCTCTTGGCACGCCACCGCAAACATTCAGTGTAGTATTTGATACAGGATCGTCGAATTTATGGATTCCATCAACCCATTGTACTTCGATCGCTTGCTTCCTTCATCGTCGGTTTGATTCAGGCAAATCTAGTACCTTCAAACATAACGGCACTGAATTTGAAATTCACTATGCTTCTGGAAGTTTAGAAGGAATTATTAGTAATGTAAGTTTCTTTTCTTAAATTTCGAATGTTTAAATTATTTTAACAATGAATCTTTCTTGTAGGATGTTTTACAAATAGCGGATATTAAGGTTATTGACCAGGATTTTGGTGAATCTGTTAAAGAACTTGGCATAGTTTTTGTTTTTGGTCGCTTCGATGGTATTTTTGGACTTGGTAAGCTTTTTTTTTTATCATTTTTATTACTGTTATATTAGTAATAATAATATCCTGATCCGTTGGGAATTAGCGGAAACGGAGTTTCCGCTTATTCACATACGGTCAGGGTATTATTAATTAATACTCCCGTGATCTTGATATAGTGATCGGGGTATTATATTATAAACATTATATACATAACACTTATTCATTATAAAATGTTCTTAAAGGTTATGATAACATTGCTATCAAAGGCGTTGTTCCTCCTTTTTATCATATAGTAAATCGTAAACTTATTGATACACCGATTTTTTCGTTTTGGCTTAATGATGCTGATAAAAATGATACTATTGGTGGAGAACTGATTTTCGGTGGTTTTGATGAATCTCATATTGATGAACCCATTCATTGGGTTCCAGTTAGAAGAAAGGGTTACTGGGAAATAGAATTAGAAAAAATTGTTTTTGATGGAGAAGAAGTTGAAATGGATGGAACTGGTGCTGCGATTGATACCGGAACTTCACTTATAGCAGTACCTACTTCTGTTGCAGACTTGATTCATAAAGCAATTGGTGCCAAGAAAAACTTTGCCGGTCAATATATAATTGATTGTGACCAAGTACCATCCTTACCTGATTTCAGCATGCAATTTAATAGCAAATTATTTACTTTGAAGGGCTCGGAATATGTTTTGAAAGGTATTATTGTTCATCATTCTTATCTATTTTGATGTCAAGTTTTAATTACAATTAATGTTGATCTTTCCTAGTTCAAAGCCAATGTATTTCCGCGTTTACGGGTCTTGACATTCCCGAACCGTTGGGTCCTATTTGGATAAGTGAGTATTTTTATTCCATATAATTGAAATCATGAATCCAAACATATTTAAAAGTTTCATTAAATTTCATTCTATATATAGTTGGTGATGTCTTCCTACGTAAATTCTATTCGATTTATGATCTCCAAAATAATACGGTTTGCCCTTTTTTTGAATTGCTTTATTTTTATTTGAAACTCTATTATGTAATTAATGACATTTCATGTTAGGTTGGATTGGCTAAAGCGAAATAATGACAGATCATTAAGCTTATATTAGTTCTCTTATTAAGTTTTTGCTGGTTGAGACCTATTTATAAATTATCGGACTTAGTTCGTGTCAGTAGTAATGTTGTTATTTAGTAAACATTTAGACAATTT